TAATTTACTCCTAGTTTAAGTTTATTATTTTTCTCTTATATTTGGATGCACCGTTGGGTATTGTCCAACGTGTGCCACTGTTACGAAAGTGATATCCATTAAATTGATTGATTGATTGATTGATTGACCCGAGGCTTCGCATAACTCCACCGCCGAACTGCCAGTAAATGTCAACACAGTTTTTATTTTCTACTGCTTATGCGGACGTAATATTATCACCAATATATTCCCGCCTTATTATTGTTTACCTGACCTATTCCCGCCGTATTATTGCTAGCCTAATTACTGTCGCTGTAAAGGAAAGTAAGTTTCAACTACCCTTCCCATCATGCTCACTGTTTCTCGCTGTTAAGTGACTTGGGATTTTTTCAACGTAAATTAGCTTTCACATATTTTTTACAGATTGTTTATACTGGATAATAAGCTGTGAAGTTAAGCTCAACATAAAGTACATGCTCGATTGTATAACCTTCCGTTACTTTATGCTATTTAATGAATACATGACATATTTAATAATTGTTTACCCCAGAAGAAAGTGTTGCAAATTTGTGTCCCATAGGCTCTGATTATCCAGACCACAAAATACTAAAATTCTCCGGGAACTAAATTTCGTGTTACACCGGCAAGTGTGTCATTTTCAACGGTTCACGTGGTTTTGTATCATATGTGCTAAGACACGGAATGCAAGAATCACACAAGCTTGCTACCATACTGTCAATATTCGGAAACCAAACCTTTTCTCGGAGTAGCGTTGTCGATTGAGAATAACAGCATGATGAAACAGCAATACAGAAGGCAGTAACGGCGTTCCATAGTTATCGATCGCGATTGCCAAATTTCACGTCGAATAATAATAATAATTTATTTCGGAAAAACGCTTTTAAAACAGCGGCACCCATTACAATAATGGTGCATCCAAAGTAACAAAATTAAATGTACAAAGAAAGTCGCAAAACCAAACAAAGGAATATACAATAAAAAAGCATCATGAAGTAAAAAGTCTAACCAAACCATTAAGGCACTCATCACAATAATGGTGATAGACAAAAAGAAGAAGAAGAAAAGTTGAAAGACAAAGGCAAATCGAAATCAGGCATGCGCAGTTGTGTCCACGCGTCATTAGGTCGTCGTAGAACTGGCCGCGTCTTCTCTTTCGTAAGCTCCCTACTTAATACTCTTTGATACAACTAAAGAGGGCAGAAATATAAATCCATGCAATAAAATCAATTACAACTACTATAAATAATATTGAAAATTTTGAAAATTATATTATTGTACGATGATGGTACCTTAGTTATTCTTTGTTTCAGAGAAATCAGATTTATATTAATCTGAGATGGATTGCAAATAAATAAATGCTGATGGATTTTGCCAGTACAGTGTAATAATTTTCAATGCTACTGTATATTAAAAGAAAAAACATATTATCTTGTGTATGGTAATCATTTATTTATTTAAGGTTTCTTTATTCAGGATAGAAAGATTAGTGACTAGCACTGCTTCCCAACTTCCAAGGAATGAATGTAGAAAAATGATAACTTCAACAACAGTTACGTGTTTTATGAATTAGAATACATTATGTATCACTAATTCATAAACGGTAACGGTCGTTGAGCTCAGCTTTTGCTAGACTAGTGAGTGAGAGGTATAGCTAGTCTAGGTCCTTGATAGGCCTCTCTAGGCCTGTCACGAATGTAGAGAATTCTTCCTCATCAGAAACATATTTTTTTGCTATCAGATGATCCGGCCATCTTTCTTAATAATATGCAGGGAAAAAAAATCCAATGCATAAAAACAAACAAAAGTATAATTATGAAATGTAAGCCTACACACTCACTGCCCGTGTGTCTGTCTTAAAAAACTCATTTCCTGATGTCAGATTTTGGCCGATATTTATTATGTTGTTTTATAGATATTTAACTACCATATCAGCTAAAAAACCTTTTGTTGCAATTTTGTCCACTCAAAATCGTAGATTGCCCTGACTATAATACCGGTACTTCTTTTGGCACGACGAACGGGCTTTCGTAAATTTCTGGGTTTTCCAGACAATAAAAGTTATCTTGAATCTTAAATCTTGCAGTCGGTAATTTAATATTCGAGCAATTTGTTAAACTATTCTGCCAACCTTCATTTCCACACACGTGTGTGTGTGTGTGTTTTTTTTTTTCCTCCGCCGCCGCGCTCGTCCTCACGAGATCCTGGCTACAAAGATAATAAACATTTAAGTTCTTTGATCCTGTTAGTCTACACACAAAAGTGGACGATACAACTGCTTCAGATCTAGGCTATATTTCGGCATCTAGGAAGAGAAGGGTGGGATTAATCAATCTCAAAATATGGCTCTTGTTTGCTCCAGTAAGAACTATTTTTTAGAATTTCGTGTTTTTTCCCTGCAAGCCGTCTGACAGTCAATAAATTAAGCTTTGCTAAGGCTAGCCTAGGCCTAGTCCTATTCTTAGTAGTAGCCTAGGCTAGGCGAATGTTCCGCTAGGCCTAGCCTAGGTGTGAATTCTGAATTCCTAGGTGTAGCTAGGCCTTCTAAGCCCGAGGCCTAGGCTAGCCTAGTCTAAGGGGTGACAGACGATCGGATCCGGCCCAACTAGTGTGGAGGATCGGGCCCATGCCAAAAAGATAGTGTCCATTTTCTCAACCGACGATGATCGGTCCCATTTATTCTGTTATATTACCCTATATAATACAGATCATTTCGGTTGCGCCTCACTTCGGTCGAGGTTTGTTTTCAACAAATATATGGAGCACCAATGGAGTTGCGAAAACACCAAATTTAATATAACTAGGCCTGTTTGTCATTCATTGTAAGTTCGTCAATCGGTTTATCATACCTTTTTTTATTTATGTTTTGTTGTCTTTCTACTAAGGCCATGTAAAAAAAAATAATTGGTTAGCATCCTTTTGGTATCAAATTTCATAGTTTGGTAGGAAGGGAGATTTTTTTTTCTCGAACATGAAAAACCAGCGTAGGAAGGAAAATTAGCAAAACAAAGAAGAGGAAAACAACAGAGGGCAAAATTGGATACAAGAAATCATCTATAGCAAGCAGATAAACTTTGCCTATAAGTAACAGTCATATTGAAATCCCTATATATATGAAGTTTTAAAACATGCAACATTGTATATGTTTACAGAACTGATGATATCGATAATAGGTTTATAAAGCATTCCATCCTAAGTGGCGAGTGTAATTGCTGTTGGATGCGAAATTAAAAATAGAAATAACAAAAGCAAAATAAGAAGATTGAAGTTTGTCATAGTCGTATAATAATTCATTATTGTCCATTCATAAACAGAAACGTTTTTGAACTGGCATTTTGTACAATTGATTACTATTTGTGATTGTTTATTCAACAACTATACTAGAGAGTATGTAAATACAGTACAATACTCAATAGTGAATACTGTTAATAAGTTTGACTAGTATCATGTGCTATGTTTATGCTGAGAAACACTTTGACTTCTAGTTGGACCAGCTGTTTAAAAACATCAAGTCACTGGGTCAAACTCGCTAGTCATAAGGTTTGCTGTTCATAAGGTTCATTATTCATAAGGTTCGTTATTCATAACATTAGCTTACCCTATACCATAGGGTCGCTATTCATAATAAAGAAAAGGGTTCGCTATTCATAAAAAATAAGGACCGCTATTCATAAGGTTCGCTAGTCATAATCAAGAAAAGGGGTCACTAGTTATCATTTAGTAAAAGGACCACAAGGTATAAGGTTCGCTAGTCATAATCAAGAAAAAGGGTCTGCTACTCATAATATAAATAAAGGGCCATTATTTATAAGGTTTGCTAGTCATAATATAAAAAAAGAGGTTTGCTATTTATAATAAAAAAAAGAGGTTCGCTATTCATAATAAAAAAAAAGAGGTTTGCTATTTATAATAAAAAAAGAGATTCGCTATTCATAAAAAAGGAGTTCGCTATTCATAATAAAAAAAAAAGGGGTCGCTATTCATAATAAAAAAAAAAAGATTCACTAGTTTGTAAATCAATAAAAAAAAAAAGGTCAATAAAAAGGTTTTAGTCATAATAAAACAGAAAATTATAGTTTGAAAACAGAAATGGTTTACTAGTCATTAAAAAAGAGTGTAAAGCTATTTTATAATCCTGCATTTCGTCAATTTCAATTCCACATTACCCCTCTCCTGTGCACTCCACCTGGCACAATTTTCCCCATAAAACCACCACCTTCATTATTGTCATTCCCTGAGTTCTTCCCCTAACCAAGTCACTCCCGTCAAGTCGCCTCCCCTAGCAAAGTCGCCCCCTAACCAAGTCGCCCCCGTGACTAATATTGAATATTATTATTAACTAACCTTTGTAACCGTTACTTAGAACTTATTTAGGCCTAGGAGAGAGCTATGACGTCCGATTCGGCCGTGCACTTGTTCGGCCGTAAGATATTCAATGCCCAAATAAGGGTTATTGTATAGAACGCTGAGTAGCGTACATGTAATCAATGCGTGAATTAGATATCACGGTGCAATGTTGGCCGCAGGTACGTTAGGGGATATACTGTACAGGGAAATCATCTGTAATAAAATCGAATTTCTGGAATAAAGAGTATAGGCCTAAATAAAAATGTATTGTTTGTTTTTACTTCTACTTAGAAGAACACAATACTGTTTAAATATGTAATTTAGTACATTATTGTTAAGATTGATTGTTTTACGGAGTAGTTTTAATAGCATAATTTTTAGTTAAGAAGTGTTTTACATTGTTTTATCCTGCAAATATTCCAAATTAAAAATTTATTGCTTGGAAGAAATTTAATTTAACTATAGCTGTAACTTTTCAAGAAAGTTGATTTGTATCTTGGAATAAAGTATAATATAATTAATTAATCCTGCATTATAATTATATATGTACTATTAAACAAGCGTACCTATTGCAAGACAATTATACGTTCTAGATAAAAGTGATTCTTTGGTTTGATTATCAATATATAAATTTGTTTGTTTCAAATAGATAAACTGAAATATGTTATGAATCTTAAAACATTATTATTAACTCACACAAACCTAATAAAATCCACTGTTCGTTTGTTTGTTTCAAATAGATAAAACAAAATATATGTTAAAACATTTATTTACTTACACAAACCTAATAAAATTCACTGATTTTTTTCGCAAACTCATCGCAGTAATAATGCCATTGAATTGCTTAAAATCACATTAATTTGCAGCATAAAGACCTGATAATACAATTATCCACATAGAATTGCATATAATGTACATTCGTTTGTTTTAAATAGATAAAACGAAATAGGCTTATATGCCATCTAAATCATTAATTATTATACTTACATGGGACTTACACAAACTTAATAAAATCCACTGTTGTTTTGGCAAACTAATGGCAGCATAATAATGCCCGGATTTCCTTAAAACCATTACCATAATTATTTGGCAACATAGAAGACCTAACAAAAACACGAAATAATGGATACTGTAGCACCAATAGATTAACCACACACACATACGTAAAGCATGCATAGCTTTGCGCCTACTTGGCGTTCCATACAAATATATATCGGCCGAACCGGTCCTACACCACCGGCCTAGCTAGCTCTCTCCTAGGCCTAGATAAGTTCTAAATAAGTTTCAATAATAAAGAAGAAAGAAAAACAGGAAACGGAGTAGACTTTAGAACAATATTTTATTAGAACATGAATATTTCGACCTGACCTCAGGTCCTCTTCAGCATGACTGATTAATATTAGGACAAAGTTGGAACAATACAATACAATAATACGGTATCTAATAGGCGATTGGTCAGACTTAATCATGATGACTTAATTATAATAACAAAAGGTATCATCGGGCCTACAAACAAGTTGATATAAACAAAAGTGAAATAATTATGATGAATAAACAGCAGGTGGCTGTAAGGCAACAAAGGATTAAGGAAATAAATTAATGAGTAAAAAGACAATAATAAAAGGCAAGAAAATATATATCTCTGTAATGATGAAAGATTCATTATAGATCACAATGAACATAATTAAAGAATAAGTGTATACATTATAATATAATGTGATGATATAGAGGACATGATAATTACTGTTTATGTATATATATTAATTCAAATATTTTACGTGTTGTTTAAATATAGACTTTATTTTTAAATTTTATATATTTATATACTTACATTTTAAAAGCTTCGGATATTAAAAAAAATCCGTTTGTTGACTTACTATTATTTAAAGAGTTATTTAAAAAAGTATTACAATTAAATTTGTACTAGCGTTGGGGCTCCTTTAAAAATAAAAAAAATTATAGATAGCGGACCTCTTTTTATTGTGACTAGCGAACCTCTTTTTCTATGACTAGCAACATATTTTATTTATTATGACAAGCGAACCTTTTTTTTTTATTATGAATAGCGAACCTTTCTTTTATATTATGAATAACGAACCTCTTTTTTTTATTATTATGAATTTCTAACCATAATATAATGTATATATTATATATTTAAATATACCTAAGGATAGGTCTGAATATTGGTTTTCTCTACTAAAGTGTTTCTAAAGTCCGTATACAAACTGATAAACAATATTGGAGACATGGGGATAATGATATATAATCACCCTTCTTTATTTATTGCCGACTGTTTATTGTTTTACATTAGATCTGGTATTTGCCAACTTTTGTAATTTAATATTTTCATTTATAAAAAGACCAAAACCACCGCCAGTTTTTTCCAACCTATTTCTATGAAATAATTTATAACCGTGTAAAAAAGATTTAGCCAGGTTTCAGAAATACCAATTGCTGTGTATTTATGATTTAATGAGTCAATATAATGCACCAAATTGTCTTGGTGTTTAGTAATACTTCTAATATTCAAATGAAGTAGAGACAGTTCAACTTTGGTATTGATATCTGATGCATAGTTATGACTAAATTCAAATTGAATCACAGTAATTGCATTCATCCAACGTGTTTGACTTTTTTATTAAACTGTTACCGTACTTAAATAATCGCTGTTATCATCAAATCTGCTAGTTGATTCAGTATCAGCAATGGGATTAACGTGTAGGTTAGATGGGACATGCACGCCTTCATCTAAATTATTAGATGGTAGAGAAGTCATTATTTAAGTCACTAACTGTATTTGAGGCACCGGCGTATTCAGTATCTATAACGTACATACATAAAATATCCAAAAGAAGATTATCAAATGATTTATAACATTCACCATGTACAAAAAATTGAGAAAAGATGCAATAAAATACTTAGTAAAAAACTTAAAGTAAGGCATAATAATAATGACATTAATAATAAAATAGGATAATAGACGCACAAATAATATAGGGCTTAGTAGGTCGCTGGTTGATCTCCGACCAATAAAAGAAAACTGGATTTACATTTATATATTTACAGGCAAATAAGTGTTGGTCAGTCCTTCACAGAATTTGGTCATGCTGTTATGACAGCGTAGAAAAGCAATGGCTAGGCATAAGTTGCCAAGCAATTAAGTGAGTTAATGTAATTGCAAGGTAATGTTAAGGAATGTTAATCATTGGTAAATACAAATGGTTGGCTGTTCTTTCTCCACTTGCCTGCAAAGAATTTTAGTTTTGTTCCTTGACTGTATAGTGGATGATACCTCAAAAACCAGCTAAAATTTACCCATTAAATCGCTTGGAAAATAGGTGCGCAGAACCGTAATTACCGTATAATACATTTTTTATGTAATAAAATTAGGTCAACAAATCCTTATTTTTGGCAAAGTCTGTGCGGAAATCAACCCTTATTTTGAGAAATGCGCGGACAGATTTCGAAATATGTTTCTTGATATATTTTTTTCTTGATATATTTTTTTGATATATTTCAGGTACTCACTGAGTACCTACAGTAAAAGTAAACAGGGCAATTTTATTAATAGGTATTCTATAATGAATCAATAGTGCATCAGAATTTTTTTGACATTTCAGTAAGTCATGAAGTTCCTGAGCATCCAGTGGTATCACCTGTTTCTAACAACATTTTTGAGAGACGTCTAATAGAAAAATTCATAGCTGAAAATGGAGTGGATCCTATTACTGGGGAGGTTCTCTCTGAAGATATGCTTGTTGATGTTAAAGGTACAAACATGGTTATCAGTTTTATGATTAAGCTCTGAAAGATTTTTTTTCATTTCATTTCTTTAGGCACGAGCACAAAGGATATGCCAATAAGTGAACCTAATCACTGTCCTACGTGGCATATCCATTTAACAACAGGGGACTTAATGGACCAGTACACCGGGGTAACCCCCTACTCTTCTCAAGCCAAATGCGTCCACTGGGCCTACGGTTTAAGGTCCTTATCCGAGAAGACATGTTCCACCACCGGAAATATTGGCGAGTGAGCCATTCGAACCAACGCCGATATTAGAGCTGAAGGTTACGGTGCCCCTGACTTAACCGCTCGGCCAATCAACTTGCCGATACAGTTCAATGCAAAATTTCTTTTACATTTCCTAGAATTATACATTACTGTATTTTGGTTTGCATTTGCAGTCTCTTCATACTGTAATTAAACCAAAACATATTAGGTGAATGTTCTTTTAAAGATATATTGTCCCTTGCTAATGTCAAAAAATCATAAAAAATTATTTTTAAATAAATAGCATACAAATTATTAAATTATGCATAAAAATTATTGAATTTAAAAAATGTGTACCCTGATTTTTAAACCAAAAAATTATAATAAAAATAATAAAACACTTCCAGTGACTGGAAGTGTTTCTATCATTTTTCACTTTAAACTGATGGGTAGACATTTTTTAAATACACTAATTTTTATGTTCAAGTTGATAACTTTTATGTTACTTCAAAATGGGCAAGTTAATTTAAAAAAATATTTTTATGATTTTTTTGGTATTTAGCAAGAGACAATACATCTTTAAATGATCCAAAATAGTTTAAGAAACGTGTTAGTTTAATCCAAAGTTTACAATTATTTATTCATATTGACATACTTAGAATCAAATAATGAACTATGGCTGATTCAAGGGAGCGGCGAACAGCTAGCCACCCATCACCCCTCTCCCCCATAATATTTTAAAATTTAAATAAATTGAGAACAAATGAAAATTATATTTAAAATTTAAGTTGGAGAGTGCCATTTCTAGTCATCTTAAGGTGCATAATCATAAATTTTCTTACCTCAGTCCCAAATTTGGTAGGAGCGGAGATGGTATAGACCACCTGGGCCCCTTCTATTTCAAATTCTTGGATCCGCCACTGAAGCTCAAAAGTTTTTCTGTAACAATATGATCTTTTATGTTGCATTTATACATGTTTGCCATTGTTCCTAGTATAATTAGAACTTCTAGTCTAGTCAACTAATTATACTCTATGTTTCCACTAACATGAAAAAATTTAACCAATTTTTGTGTTGTTGATCCACAGTGAGCCCCGTGGTGAAGCCACGCCCACCGACAGCCACCAGTATCCCTGCAATTCTCAAGCTACTTCAGGATGAATGGGATGCCTGCATGCTGCATAGCTTCACCCTCCGTCAACAGTTGCAGACAGCACGTCAAGAACTCTCCCATGCCCTCTATCAGCATGATGCTGCATGTCGTGTTATTGCTAGGCTGACTAAGGAGGTTACAGCAGCCCGTGAAGGTACACCAATTCTGGTATTCTGTTGGTACTGGATACCATGATTTTCCCCAAGATAATGTTATTCTGCTTATTTATATCAACATTAATAACCATTTTACTGGCATTTTAAATTGCCCGTTTTATCATTGTGACATGATTTTTTTTTAATTTTTTATAATTCATTTTTTTTAAATTTTAGTAATTGAACATTTTAACAAATCAAAATCATGTGTTTCTGCCATGTTAAATAGCTTATTGGCTGCCATCACTGTAGAGTAGGACCCATTTAATTCAGCTAATGCTATTATAAATTCCTAAACTTAAAGCAAGGCTCCATTGGAAACATTTTTTTGATATGTTATTCAACTGATTTACTTAAAACGCTGAAGGAGTGTTTGAGGAATAAATGGATTAATAAGCTCTACATTTTGAATATAGATATTGGAGGATGAATAGGGTGGTATGCCCTAAATAGTTGAAGCATTTGTGACTTTGCATATTTTTCTTGGTTTTGATTTCCCTTCTTTTTCTTTTGTTTTAACGAATATAACATAAATATTTTCATTCATTGAAACAGTTTTTGATCATCACACATTTTATTACATTATCATTTTTGGACCAAAGAAAAGCATGCAGCAAAACCAAAATTTATTATGATAATAATGAACAGTACCTAAAATAAACCCATTCTTTAGAGTTTTGTATTATTTTAATATCTTGATAAAACTAAAACTATCGGTTTCCACACGCAAGGTATGCTTGCTTGATGTGAAACTGTTTTAAGTCTACAAAGTAAGCATATAAGATCTATAATACAGTTCAGCAATCTGTAACAATAATATTATGCTATAATCGTAATCTTTCAGTAATGATAATGTTGATTTTCAGTTTTAAAATACATTTTTAAATTGTTTTTAAAGCCTGTTTTCCACTAGGCCAATTTATTCGTGAGAATCAAAATCGTCGGATCTGTTCCTGAGGTCTGATTGGTTGCACATTTTTCGCTTCCCAAAAAGTAGAAACAGTTCAACCTACTGATTTCGCTGCAGCGAAAAACTGCGATAGAAATATGAATGCGCATGCGCATGAACAGACGTTTAAGGATCTTAATTAAGAACCATAATTTTTAGCACACCTGTGTACCAAAGAATGTTGCACACTAATTATATTACTAATTATTATTGCCAAATAACTTATTGTAGCCATGTTAGTAGTAGTTTAGTTACAGCAACATTATCGATTAACAGAGCCCTTTATAAACCTTAATTTAATGCATTATTGTGCAAGTCAGGTTGCTGAGCTGTGAAGCTTAAGTGCTATAACGCAGACCCTTAAACCTGCGCTGTTTTGAGACCCTCCTAACTAATTCTTCAAGTGGTAGAACAATACCTTCTTGAGTAAGGACTATAAATCATACTAACTGTACCTTTTTGGAGTATCAATCAAACTTAACTGACCTATCAAAACAACGTTAAGAATACGCGCTTCTCCCACAAACACATATGTGTCCCACAAACGCAGATGTTTACGTGAGTTTACGCTATCATTATCGTTTAATCTTAGCAAAAACTTCCATTTGTCTTCAAAATTCATGTACAAGTTATCTCATTTCACTTACAGCACTTGCTACTCTGAAGCCCCAGGCTGCTCCAGGCATTGCCCCTATTGGGAGCATGGTCCCACCAAGTCAGCTGGCTGAGCCAATGGAGGCGGAGGAGGCAGGCATGATTGGCATGTCAGAAGAAGTCATTCAAAAGGTACTTTTATGATGCATGTTTAAAATTCTATTACCAACCAATTGCAAAAGAAATGAAAACAGATAAAATAAAATAATACTATTAAAACAATTTCAAATCATATGTGGTGTTTGTATTTAATATGTACAGTATTTGAAATTGTGTTGAATTTTGTATTGTGAATGTTATGCTAGGCCTTCGGGAGAGCAGTACTTTTTGATCCAGTTTTTATTATAACTAATGAAATATATGAATAAACTTATGGTCTTACAGTATAGCATATTTGGATGAAGGATTTATTATTCTACTTTACAATTGATTAAATGTTGTAGTATGGCATAGTATAATATTATCATAAACATAGTTAGTGATGTACATTTGTATTTATCTGTAGTTGCAAGACAAGGCCGCCTTGCTTACTGCAGAGCGTAAGAAGCGTGGTAAGAAGGTTCCAGAAGACCTAATGCCGGCTGAAGAGATCCGCAGTTTCCGTGTTCAATCTTCTCATCCAGTAAGTAATTTGTATCTAGGCTCCAAGCCTGCCACCCTTAATGATTTATGTTCTAGGTCACTGGTTTGTAGCAAATTTGTGCCTCCAAAAGAGAAGGATAATTTAAAACGAGACAACCAACAATGGTTTAAGCATAGTGGAATACCAATATATTTGAAACTTTATTAGGCTTACAAAAAAAATAGTCAATATTTTTAAAACAAATATTAAATATAACAAACATCTGCTAAATATGCAGCAAAATTTTTGTTTTGGTCTAGGTTCCCTATACAATAATAATAATATAAATTGTATTTATTGAGTCCCACCTGAGAACAACTTGCGATTTTTTTTCGTAATTGTTTTCAAACGCACTGAGTATTCAGTACATTTCCACGTCAAGTAGGGCAAAGTTACACCTATGCAATAATATAAAGGTTTCTTTATTCCTGTGAAGATAATAAACATTGAATTGAATACGATGGGCTCTTAACAGCTCATTCCCATATATTCATTTTATGTTAATGTATACTGGACTGTGCTTGCTTTTATTCTTAATATTTATAATAATAACATTTTAATTTTTTTTTTATTCATAGGGTCTTCATAGTGCAAGTAATCCTGGTATTTTGGCTTTGGACATCCAAGCTGCTAACACTAACAAGGTACTGACTGGTGGTGCTGATCGCAATGTGGTGGTCTTCAATAAGGAGACTGAGCAATTGGAGACCATACTTAAAGGACATACTAAGAAAGTTACCCATGTCATCTACCATCCCAACAAGGTAAATGGTTATGTTTGTTATAGTATTCTAATATCGTTATTATGATTTTTGGTTTTATATACTGTAACAATAACAACAGTCAGTATCAACATTATCTGTTACTGAAGAACTGTGTGAAACTATTCAAATATTTGAGGCTTGCAATAGCATGTAGCAATTGTAGGGAAACCAAGCTTTACTCAAAACTGTGGCAATAGTAAGATTCCAGTAAACAACCCATCATTTTAAAGCTTATAATGTGGAGAAGAATAAGAATGTAATAAAAAATTCAATAATTAATTTTTAGTTCCTATGCATGTAATGCAATAGGAACTATTGTAATCACTCTTCACTGTTTTTCCTGTGTGTAGCCTAGGGCCTAGATCGTGTACGTTCTTGATCATCGTGATGAAAACTTCGGGTGACAGACAATTGGGCCCAATTGGTGTGGACAATCAGGCCCAAGCTATTTTAAAATAAATTGTAGTCTAGTAGGCCACTGCCAGCTCTTCTACTCTCGATATCGTTCCAAACTACTGTAAAATGAAAATACTGTATACCTAGCTAGGCATAGGCCCTAGGCCTACACAATTTTTTCAAAGAAATTTGCTAAAAATATTACTGTAATTTGCCTATCAAATTATATTACCAATGTGGTCTAAAATCACTATTTCTAATCACTAAGACTCCCCCTGGATTTTTCAACCACCACACAAATTTGACACAACCATATTTTCTGCTTATGGCATTTATGATTACTTAATCAGAAAATATGGTTGGTTAAGTCATGTATCATGCATAGGAACGTTGACTCCTGCTAGGCTCTGGTTTGGTCTTGGGAGGTTGAGCATCATTTAATAATATTGTTGTTTTTGTTGTTGTTAAGGTTGTTATTATATAACATCATATAAATATGCATATAATTGAACACAATGTACTGTATATGGCCTTACAATGATAAAGATATCAATGATGAAATGAATGCAGATGGAATTAAGTAAATGCTGGTGGAAATTAAGAAGTCAAGTTTTTTGCTGTACCTTGTGTGATATCATTGTATGCTATGTATGTTTTATTTTTGTTAACAAGAAGTAAACAAGTTTACTCCAGCATTCCACCCATGAAATTACCCTTAGCATTCATTTATTTGTTGAGCAGTTTACGAATTAGCACTTGTATTACTTCAGGATATTGTGTTCTCATCCTCTCCTGATTCTACGATCCGGGTTTGGGCAGTTGCCAGTGGCACATGTGCCCAGACGATTCGGGCTCACGAAGGCGCAGTAACAGGGCTTAGTCTCCATGCTACTGGCGACTACATGCTGAGTTGCTCTGAGGATCGCCACTGGGCTTTCTCTGATATCAATGTTGGACGTGTCCTTACCAAGGTGTCTGATGACTCTATTGGTCATGGTAAGAATAATAATTTTTGTTTGTTTTATATACAACAAGGTCGATGTGTTTATGGATTTATTACCCTGGTCATTGTAGGAACTGCCAATGGAAGACTTGCTTAGCCCACTGGGGGAGTATTCTATAATATTGCTGCTAGTAATTTTATTTGCGTTCAAATCTGTCATACTCCTGGGTGGAGTAGAGTGTGGATAAAATACCATGGCAAAGGACACAATGAAATAGACAGCTTTAAATAGCCGAGCGGTTAAGTCAGGGGTGTCACAACCTATAGCCACAATATCAGCGGTGGTTCAAACAGCACGCTAGCCTATGGTTGTGGTGGAGCAAGTCTTCTCGGAAAAGAACTATAATCTGTAGGTCCAGTGTACACAATATGCACTATAAAGGTTGCAGTACAGCCTTCGAGTAGGTGGTTACCCCGGTATACTGGTCCGTCTCATAGCTCCTGTCATTTTGGGCCAAAGTTATAAATTATGAAGTTGACCCTCAATCAAAGAAGAAGAAACAAAATTTAAGTTCCTTAAGCTAACCTAACAGCTTCATAGAGTATACATTATATATTACATCTTATTTATCTAATTATGTATTTGACTTTTGTCTATTGTTTGTGTTGGTTTTTTGTTCTGATGTCACTTTATGTTGGGCTACCACAGCATTCATTTGTCTTCCTTTGTCTTGCAGCATTGACTTGTGCTCAGTTCCATCCTGATGGTCTAATCTTCGGAACCGGTACTGGTGACAGTGTCATCAAGATCTGGGATCTCAAGGAACGGACAAATGTGGCCAACTTTCC